GAGAGAGAGAGAGAGAGAGAGAGAGAGAGAGAGAGAGAGAGAGAGAGAGAGAGAGAGAGAGAGAGAATGAAGCTCCCCCAAACAACACAGGTAACGTGAGCGCGCGAATGCCTTGCTTGTCGAGAGCTCCATCTCTATGCACGAGTGTGTAGACGTTTGCGAGAGAATGAAGCTCCACCACCAAACAACACGGAGAATGCGAGCAAAGAGATGGAGCGAATAGAATACCTTGCTTGTTCAGATCGGCAGAGAGAAACATACGATGGGGCGCCGCAGGGAGGGAGGGACTTCTTCACGGAAGCACACAAACAGCGCAACACGATTATTGTACACCACCTTGCTACGCTACTCGACCTACGATAAAAATGAAATCATCATCTCCACTGCATCCAAATAAATGCTACGCGCATTTTTCGATTGACCGCAGCGAAATGACAAACGAAAACGCAGCTCACCTTCACGACTGCACGTACTAAAACTACATTCCCTGTTCTGAAGAAAGGACTCAGCACCTTATATCTGTAGACTTCTCAAGCACTGTACCGCACTGCAGTTCTGTTCAATTAACTTATGTTCAGTAATGTTCATACCAACTCCATCCATCCAACCAGTCTATGAATGACCCATCTCCATCCATATTGCCCGTTCGCCGGAATGCCGCTATGATGTTGACGCAGAATATCTTAACATCAGCAGAGCGCAGAAGGCGCACTGTGAGCCTGTTAAGCTTCATAAAAGTCCGAAGGCACACCGTGGGCCTGTTAAGGTTCATAACAGCCTCTTGGGACCCGCCGGGTAAGAGAAAACGACCCTTGCTTCTTCCTCCGCTGCCACTCTGCCCCCCACCCCACCCGTCTCCCAACTCCCCATCTCCACCCCTGAGTCGCACACAGCTCGAACCGCAAAACGTTAATGTTTCGTCCGTTGCCGTCCACTCATTGGCCGCAAAATGCACTGAAAAATGCTGCGGCATCGCGAATGCACACCAAGGGGCAGGGTCCCACGCCACCTCATCCATACTCAGGTCCACCGAATTGCTCCTGTTCCTACAGTCAATCACCAGCACCTTGTCACTCTCCCTACGAAGCGAAACAAACAACCCTACCCTTTCCCAAAACACGATGCCATCCGTCCATCGATATATATATTCAGACAAAGGGCACATGGTTGGTCAGCTGACGACTCACTCAGAGGGTCCGTGGAAAAAAATACTCTGGCCATATACAATGAACATGCACCTGGTCACAATTTCGACCAGACACGTGCATGTTTTCAGGAGAAGGCATTACAACAAGTTGCGCAGCAGCAGAAGCAGACGAAAAAGACCACGACGGCGTGTCCATCAACCTTTTCTTCAACAGCCAACTAGCCGGCTGTGTTTCTTTCCCAAACAGTGAAGAAGGAATGTCACGACGGCGACGGCTCTGCAGTTGCTGGCATCTTCCACATTCGCCTCGATTCTCCAAGCGCTAATGAAGACCATGTTGCTGATTCAACCCACCAATTCTGCAAGAGTGCACAGAGGCCCACAAATCAAAATGCCAAAGGACAACACGGCTGTCCAAGTCAGTGCATATCCCTCAATGTTCATACCACTAGAACAGCAACTACCAGCAGTTCTTTGGGGTCCCGTTAAGAATTGAGGGCCTTCATACGGATAAGAAATATACGTCCCCATCCCTGCTCTGCCACGTAAATGGATGACCACACACACGTGCGTGTGTTTTTTCAAGAAAAAACAATCTTCTCTCTCATCCCATCCACGAATCATCACAACCCATCCATAAAACAAAAAAGGCCTAGATAGGCACACGATAGTAAAAGATGCAAGGTACCCAGATGAGTAGAGCATGCACACACACACACACACACACACAACAGAGAGAGAGAGAGAGAGAGAGAGAGAGAGAGAGAGAGAGAGAGAGAGAGAGAGAGAGAGAGAGAGAGAG